CTTTACATAAATGTATGTGTACATATACATAGAATAATATATATACACACACATACATATATATACATGCACACATATTATGCTATGTATACAAATAATATATTTGTGTATGTACATATACCATGTATACATATATGTGTGCACATATCCATAGATATAATAGATTTATATATGCATATTGGTATGATACCTAAAATTGCATATAAAATAGAAAACATCTTGGATATTAGTTGTCTTTTTGACACTTTACCTGTTGAGAATAGTGCATTTGATGATGTAACTGAAAATGTTCTTCTCTGGTAACTCTGGCTGGCTTTGGCAGCATTTCCACTTCCTGGATGGCTTCAATGCTCACTTGTTGAGGCAAAACTTGAAAGAGTGATGTGATGTACATTAAGATGGACTTCTTATCTGGATAAGCGGTAGCAACATCTGTAAGCACATTAACACCACACATCAATTTTTGGTTTCTATATTTGAGTCTCTAAAAGGGGAATGAACAAATCAATGTTACAGGAAGAAGACAGATTAATGAGCACTCGATTGCCCATGAATATCCTCCAGAGACTAATTAGAACATGATAATCAGGCCTAAAATGTCCTTCCAATTTGGCAGACCAACGAAATGAGCGCTAAAGTTCATTTCTTTTCCTTACTCACATAAAAACTTCATTCTGTGATGCTTTTTCCTAAGTCAAATCACCAAACTAGCCCATCGAAGAGAGTGGTTCCCATTAGGTAAGAAAAAAAAAATAGATTACATAGTCCTTTCCATGGAAAGTTATATTAACATGTCAATTAAAATGGTGCATTGGTAATTAAACCAAAAGAGCTTAAAGCTTTGGCTTCCGGTAAAGAAAGCTTACACTTCCCTAGTCAATTTTCTGCTGATTAAGTATGTAAAGGGCAAAATACGTCTCTGTGTTGAAATGAAACATGCATTTTCACAATAAACATAAAATAAAACCGCAATATACCATATGTATAATGATTTTTAATATTCCTTAAATACATTAAACATATTTGTAATCATTACAGCGCATTTGTTAAGGTCACATGTTGCTTTCCTTCCCAGACTTTGGAAATAAATTTAAAAGTCCTTCACAAAAAGTTGATCTGACATTATGTCCTTTGCCACATCCAGGGAATGAAAGAAACACAGTATTTAAAGTCAATAATAATTTGTAATAACACGATAAGTGGCAGCTCCTTCGAAAGGTTCTTTTGCTACTTGGCATTACAATTTACCCACTGAGCTCATTCCAGGGAACCAAGATGTAAAAATAATCCTTTACGTGAAGTATATCATTAATCCTAGAAGTGTTAAAACATAAATCTTGGTAGGCGGCCAAGGCAACCTTGCAGCAGTGTGCCAGGAATTTTCCTTGCCATAAATTTATCTTAGCTTAGCTAACATTAAAAGATATGTTTTAAATTAAATATGTATATTCTGGACAGGTGTTCTGATTATGAGTAAAAAAATCTCAAGTCCACTAGCATAAAATGAGGTTGAACATCTCTTCCCAAGTAGCGGGAACATGATTAATCAGAACTCTTTTTAAAGTATTTTTTAAAAGAGTTACAGAGAAGGGAAAAGTTAAGTAATGCTCCTTGGTCTGCTTCTATCCATAGTATAATACAGTACTTCTCCATTTTTAATGCGCACATGAATCACCTGGGGACTTTTTTAAAATCAGAGTCCTATTCGGTAGGTCAGGGGCGGAGCCCGAGGCTCTGCATTTCCAACAAGCCCCTAGGCGAGGCTGAAGCTGCTGGCTTGACAACCACACTTTGAGCAGGAGGGTCAAAAAAATTACAGGGAAGCAGACTGTAATACCATCTACCATTTGACTGGTTCACTCATTTTTTTCAAAAGACACTTACTGGACACTTAAATGCACAAGGCTGAGAGGTATGAAACTATATAATACATATTCCCTGCTCCTTATTATAATTTAATTATTAACCTACATACGCGAAGTTAATTTTCTTGCAAGTATTTTTTACGGAAGAGCTAAAAACTACTTTCTGCATGTGAGTTGTCTTTCTAAAAAATCTTACTAACTTGGTTTTGAAATTCTGAAGCCTAAAATCTCCCCTTCGTTTGATAATTCTTTTTCAAGTGTCCACTGTATGGTGGATACTATAGTTTTCACTGTATTTTGAAACTCCAGAATGTTTTCTTCCTTGTCACTAGTAACTAGTCAGTTTTATGTGTGATGAGCATAATTTAGAATTGTGCTTTTCCATGTATTAAATAAAACCATGCTGGGAGAAAGGCAATGAATTAAAGAAGGTTGATCTGAGACTATTTACTGCTACATTATACATAGGCATGTACACATATGTTTGGCTCCAAATTTATACCATGATTTAAAAAAATAAAGGTAAAATAGGTCAAGTATTATATCTATTGCCCCAGGCAAACATCTAAAATTATAATACACTTTTAAAATTTATTTTGAGAGAGAGAGGAAGGGAGATGGGGGGAATAAGAGAGAGAAAGAATCACCGATGTGAGAGTGAAACATCAATGGGCTGCTTCCTACACGCCCAGCTGTGTCCTGACCAGGGCTGAACCACAAACTTACAGTGCATGGGACGACGCTCAACCAACTGAGTCACACCGGCCAGGGCTATAACACGTTTTAGCCACATAAAACATCTTGTGCATGAAAGCGAATAGTCATAAATATCAATCATTATAATAAATATGCACTATTTGGCCAAACTACTGACATTTTTGCCCTAATCTCTTACCATCCTACCTCTGAGGTTGTGCAGGATTCAGCTGTACCAGTAGGTAGAATCCAGTATTTCTTTTAAAGAAAGGAATTTAGATATTCTAAAATATGTTGATGTCCTTGAATATATAGTTACTAAAGAGTTGAAATATTTTGATAGGTTATCCAGGAGATTAACAAGATAGAGAATCCATGGATTCTGCTCACAACCTGGACTAAAAAAATAATGAAGTACAAAATAATTGCATTGTTAAACAGAATGTAAAATGTATTTCCCCAACTGGCACAAGCAAGTGCTTTAATATGTTCAGAAAGGGGAAGAAATCCTACATTACTGGGGGACCAGAAAATTCTTTATGAACAGGAAACCGAAATAAGCATGGATAGAATTTCATTATCTGGAAATGAGAAAGGGAAAAGGTTTTGCAGGCAGTGGGAAAGCATGAGCAAAAGTGCAGAGGCAGGAACGGATTAGACATGGCCCTTCGGATGTCTGAGCTACAGGGCGGGGGAGAGTGGTAATAACGGGTAGACTGTGTGTGGAACAGGGAGAGGTCATGGACAGCACACGAGAAACTTCGGCCTTAGTTCAATAGGTTGGAGAGTAACTAACCACCTCTGAGAAAGACTGCAACAACATTTAAATTTCTGTAAAGGAAAACTGTTAAGTGCAGAATGGATTCGCGGAGAACAGAACTGCAGGGAAGTGGGAAGCTAGGCCCCAATCCAGACAGGGAGCGTGAGAGAACTAAAACCCACTGTGTGATGAAAGCAAGAGGGGGCACGCCAGAAATGCTAAGACAGGCCCCAAACGACTTCAATGTTCAAATCACTCCACAGGTTTTGGAAACGCCTACGTATGAAAGCTGTCCTAAGCCCGGAGGGTACGAAAGTCAATAAGCTGAGGAGAAAATGGAGATGGAGGGAAAAACTGTTCATTCTATAGCCAAGGGAACAGGGAGCCACCAACACAACTTTCTATCTCCTTTAATCAATTACCAGTTACCTGCCTACATGGTCTTGATCGTGCTTCCCCGAGTGGCAGCCCCTCCCTAAGGAAAGTCTGTCAATCAGGAGTGAACACTCCTGCCAGTCACTCCAATGAACAAAAATCTGAATTCAAACCTGTTAGCAGAGAGCCCTGGCAGATGTGGCTCCGTTGGTTGGGCATCCTCCTGTGCACCGAGAGGTCATTAGTTCGATTCCCGGTCAGGGCACATGCCCGGGTTGCAGGCTTGATCCCTAGTAGGGGGCGTGAAGGAGGCAGCCGATTGATGTTTCTCTCTCACAGATGTTACCCTCTCTCTCCCTCTCCCTTCCTCTCTCTGAAATCAATAAAAACATATCTGTTTAAAAACCTGTTAGCAGAGAAATGGCACCAGGTGTTATAGGTGGAGATAGACCTTGGTTCAACAACCTCAGTATTTGAGTTCTGGCTAAAAAAGGATTCAGAGCCAAGCCTCAAATACAAGCAAAAGTTTATTTAGAAAGTCACAGATGTACAAGTGAACTATGGAAGAAGTGAGCCAGATGGGCTGCGTGGGCTCAGAAAACAAGTTACAGAGGAGAAAGAAAGGCATAGCGAATGCACCTGGGGAAGGAGAAAGGGAAAGGCACAGTGTGTGCCAGAGAGAGAAAGAGCATGTGCTGGGTCCTCCGTCTTGAGAGTTTTTATCCACTCTCTAAATGCAGGAATCTCAGGGGAGGTCTCAGGGGAGGATCTCAATGGAATATTCATCAGCTTCCCAGGTGTGTCCTTTCAGGTTCGTGGTCTCTACTGATTAGTCAGTGCCAGGGCAGGTCATTAGTCATAGCAGCTGGTCCTAATGTCAGCCATGGTGTTGCCCTGCCTGGCCTTGCTTTTTTTCTGGGCCTGGAGCTAAAACACAACTGAGGCCTATATGTTATCCCTAGTTTGAACAAAATTCTGACTGTGGTCAGCAGACCCAAAGCTTTGTTCTTAAGATTACTTGATGCAGGCCAGAACCTCATCGTCCTGAGGGCTTAATGCTTAAGGGAGTGGTCATGCAAGGGCTTGTATGGGAGTCATATGAGGCTATGCTCCGGCCCTTGTTCCTCCCCTAAGGGGGGCTAACACATGACTAGGGACAAGGTAGGGAGGAAAAGTCAGGGGAGGGTACAAACCTCATAACCAGCAATATGAAATGTCAGGGAATCTAAACCACATGCCCAGCAATATGCTAGGGGGAGAAGAAAAGGTCACCTGGGGGGAGGTCCCACCCTACAATTGTCCACTGCTAGGCACCAGGGGCTTTCTGTCCTGGTGACATTTCATACCCGGCCTATTATTCCTACCCTGCTCATGCTGTCTAATTGTCTACTATAAACCAATTAACAGTGGTCTCAACTGAGTAACCAAACATGCTTCTAAATGTGATATCAACATACAACTCGGAATGTTCACAGATCTCTTGATCTCTGGGTTTCCCCCCAAAACCAAAGAACATTCTATTTTGAGAGACTGTGGTAGACCAGCATAGTTTCCTCTTATTTAAATAAACAATAAACTCAGCTTTGTGTTTTCATTTCAAATACTTAGTAATAGTTTCATCATTTGATAAAATTCAAGAGATAAAATTCACTTGTAAATTTAAGCTTACTAATGAAAATTTATTAGAAGAAAGTGTGATGCAGTGAAATAATTAGCAATTCTCAATCTAAAGATTT